AAAAAAAAAAAAAAAAAGGCCAACAGTTTCTCATTCATCTCTACTGGTTTTCATTTTTATCTCCAACAAGGAGGTTTTCACTGTTTTTTGTTTCTTTAGCATGGGCCAAGAAAGAAACCCATTTTCCTTTTTACTTTCGTTAACATTGCAGTTGCATTGGTATTATTTGCCCAGGGTTTGAGATGTCTGATAATTGTTTTCCAGGATTATTTAGTCATAGGTGTATTCTCGTTCTTTCCTATGAACGTTGCTCATTGGGCGCATACGCTGCAGGCCCACGCAGCCTGAACACCAGAGTCCCTCTCCGGCCGAGCCGATGGAGAGCGTTCGTGTTTGAAGTTCTCCACAAACATGAAAAGGGCAAAATAATTAGACTTTCCCAAGTTTAATGGACTGGATGAATCAAATTCATCATTCAAGGATTAATCGCTGAAAAATGTGATAATTTTCCTGCCATTCCTGTTTCTGGACGTGGACTTTTTATCCAATCTGTGAGCTCCACAAACCAAATTCACTTCTCAGTGCATCAGATTTGAGGCAGAAATCTCAAAACCTGGACAAATAAAACTAAAACCATCTTCAATGCTTTAATACCACTAGGTAAGAAAATCCTTTTTTGAATTTGGGTGAACTAACCCTTTAGTGAGAGCCACCTTTTAATCACTGAGGATGAATTGTCTGTAATCCAATAAAGATCTCCCTGCTGAGCTCCTGAATGCTTTGTGAACTGAGACGCTCTCATGTCTCCTGTCTGATTTCAACCTGTTGGATGATCAGCTTCGGTTGTTTCCTCTGTGCTGAGCGACTCCACGGCTCCAATGTTTTCTGTCTGTTAATCTCATCTGTGTGAACTTAATCATTTTAGAAAGATCATTATATGAAACGTCCACAATATACTGTAATACAGTACAAGGTTACACAATACAGCTATTGGAATGTAAATTCCACGTTTGTTTGTCTATGTTATTGTTTAGTATCATGGTCTCTGTCCTCTAAAATAAACCAATAAAATAAGAACAAACGGTATAAAAGTCTCCAAAAAACACAAAAAGGCGCCATGTTTACAATATGTGTAAAATGTCGTGATTGCCACAAGTTTGCTCCTCGTTTGTTCTGCATTGAAATCATATCGTATTGTAAATCAGGAATTACATTTTTTGTGCTCAGTCGTCTCTAATCTTTCCCAGTAGTGAGGCGAACTGAGGGACGGCAGATAAAGTAAAAGAGCTGGATTACCACATTGTCAAAAAAAAATAACTAGATAGCCTTGACTATGGCAGATTTAACTGTTTAAGCCAGTGGTTTTCAAACTGTGGGGCATAGAGCCGCTGCAAATGGGGACCTGGATGAAAGTAAACTGAAGGAATATGATTTATGTAGGGAAATTAAACAAATAAGATATCTTTATATCACTAAAATTCAACTTTGATCCTTTTTTGTTAGTTGGCCTCTGAAGGGTGGCACGAGAGAACCACCAGGTTAAGTTATTAAGTGCAGCTTCCAGAAATATGATAATAAAAGATTCAATCAGGTTTTTGTAACTTAATCAGTGAAATCTGGGAATTGTTATACAAACATATGTGGACACATGACAGAGAGGCATTATGTTTAAACAGGAAAAGGGTCTCTAGACACAATATCAATGTATGGATTGATGGGCTTAAGGGTTTTCCAGAACTAAAGGTTCTAGTCTAAACCATAAAAACTGCGCCAGAACAAACGGATGTGAGCAGTTTCTATCTGCCTGATGATAAAAGTCAGACCTCAGCAGGTAAATTACTTCTGCAGTCAGACTGTTACAGTGTGGAGTAAATCTGTTGCAGGTAAATGTGACGTCTGCGGTCAGCATTATGACAGTGTGTGTGTCAGCGTGAAGGTCGTCACTGTGCAGAGAGACTGATGTTCAGTCCGAGCTCAGGATTTTATGAGATTATGAATGGAAAATCTGAAACTGCCAGTAACTCCAAGTAACCAGTAACTCCAGCTGTCAGGTAAAGGGTAGAGGAAAAGTAGATGTTCTCCCAATACTATGGAAGTGCTGTTTTGAACTTCTATACTTTTCTGATATATACCGACCGTAGAGTATTGAAAACCAAAGAATCAAAATGAGAATTTTGCCAATTTTAAACTGTTTTATTTTGTACAGCTACTTGTGTTTAGACATTTTCATATACAGAATTGTTTAAATGCAAAAAGGGTTTTATTTATACGTGTTTATATTCCTCTGAGTTATGGAAGAAGTACTCAGATGGTTCACTTGAGTAAAAATAGAAATAGCACCAAATATATTTCCTATTTCTTATAGTGTTTCAGACCAATACTTCTGTAGGTTATGACATGACCCAAGGCAATTAGTTAATGCAGTGGTT